GCGAGGTTTTGGAGCAGCCCTTGACAAAAGCGAAGGTTCGACACCTTCGGTGGTCCCAGGCGCCGCCCCTGCCTTCGCCAGAGCAGGGGTCGGCGGATATAGAGGGGTGAAGGCCAAAAGGGGGTGAGGTTGTCATTCGGAAACCCAAGGAAAAAATAATAATTGAAGAGGCACTCACAAAGGGGTCGTGCCCGAAGGATCTCACCAAGGGGCCTCACTAAAAAGTCTTGTGACACAAGCTGCCTCCACCCACACAAGATCCCTTCTTCCACAGAAGGGAACGGGTCTCACACCTCGTTTGCTTCAAATTGCAAAAATTCATGGGGCAAGGCGCCACAAAGGGGAAAGTCTTTTGGCAAAGCTTCAGAAATTTCCGTGGCAAAGCCCTTTGTCAAGGGAAAGCAAGAACCCTGAGAACTTGTGGGAACTTTTTATACTTAAGGATTCACCCATAACCCTTCTTTGCGAGGCCCCTTATTTCCTGCGAGACCCCTTCGCGAGATTTTTCGTGAATCTTTTGGCGAGACCCTTCCATGACACCCTGTGCACGACCCCTTTGTGAGCATTTGTGAGACACCCTTTGCCAGACACTTTTCTCGAGAATCTTCACAAGACACCAGATGAGACCCATTCGCCGCCAACTTTCAGAACCGATCTGTTTGCCTTCCTGGGCTGACTGCGTCTTTTGCGAGATCCTTTGCGAAACCCCATCATGAGACCCCGTTTGCCGTGACAACGCTTTGCCAGATCTTTCTCTAGACCCTTTGCAAGACCCCCTTCACGGGACCCGTTCGAAAGGATCTTGGTGAGACTCTTTTGCGAGAATTCCTTGATGAACCGACCACTTTGACTTCTCGCACTTTTTCTTTTGGCGAGACCCTTTGTGAGACCCCTGTGTAAGACATCCTTTATCAACCCCTTCTTTTGCGGGCTCTTGTTTTCTTTTGCCAGACTCCTTCCTGAGACACCTCCGCAAGACCCCTTCATAGACAAGTCATCCCCAGTATCATTTTTGAGTGGATTTTTTTTACGGAACTGGATGGAACTGAAAACTTGCAGGTTTTTTCTAGGCTCGTCTTGAATTCTCCTGTGTGTGTGTGTGTTTTTTGTCGCAACCCCTTTACCCTTTACCTCCTCTACTTTATAATCTTTATAGTCGCATGTCGCACGAGACTTCTTCCAGAATTCATGTGTCAAGTTTCCAAAACCAGCATGTTGCACGTGACATCCTAAACTGAGAACTCTCCAAACTCTCCAAATGCGTTTCGCGCCAAACTCCCTCCAAAAGTAAAGCCGGAAGTCTCATCAGCTCGTCAGCAGTTTCGCAAACACCCACAAAGTACTGCGCCTGCCACGACGAGTAACTATGCCACACCGTGATTTGGTTGCAAAGTTTGCACCATGCCACACTTTTGGAATGACTTCGAAACATTGTTGCTTCACCCTGATCCCTCAAAGTTACAATTTTGCTTCAGATATGTCACGAAAAGACAGCTTCGAGGCAAGCGCTGCAAGAGAAAACTCAAATGGCGCAGCAAAAAACTAAATAATTACCTCTCCAAAAGACAACCCTGAGAATGCCAATCCCGGTAAGTCTCCGGGTGATGCAAAGTGCTGACCTCATGAACACTGCACCTACGCAACAAAATCATCCTTCACTCTTGGGCACGTTGCATTTCTCCACTCTTTCAAGCGAATCTGACACTTCATGCGTCCTTCCAAGACCTCCTCCAAGAGCTTTCCCAAACGGGAGGACTTTTGGTTCACACTGCCACCATGCGGACGATTGCACAGCACAATGGCTCTACCCCAGACCCCCAGAGTTAAATGAGAACCCTTTGCTACGCTGCCGTGAATTCGGGAAGACTCTTTGTAGGGGAATGAAAAGGCTGGTCTTCCGATAGTTGTATGTCTTCAATCCCTTTTATATGTAACATTACTAAATCCATTATTATACCTTATTGTAATTGCAAACCCCCAAATAATGTGTCCGCGTTAGGGGTTCTTACGGTAGCTGATTCACCGCTATTTACAGTACATTCATTCACCTGGAGATCTTCGATGTGCACTTCGAGTGCGCAGGCTCGCGGAATCTTGTGGGCTGGCACGGGTGCTCTTGGGGACTGTGCTCTCGTTGTGGTGCCGTGCACATCTTCGGACTTGGTGATCACTTTTCGTGACAGGCCCAAGGGAAACCTCGTGTCTAAAGTCGGCTTTTTCTGACAGGTGCAGGAGATCGGAGCAGCGCGATGTCAATGTACAGGTTTTGTGGCAGGCACAGTACTTTGGACATCATAATCTTCGGCATGCTCTGACTTCGTGGCAGGCGCACTGAATCGTGACTTTTGGGCATGTGCCTCATATTCCGAAACCGGAGGAAGCCTCGAGCGAAGGCTGTGTTTTGGCATCTTTGTGGACCTTGAGTGTAGATTTCGTGGCAGGCACAGCACTTTGTGGGTCTTGATTTCGTGGCAGGCACAGCGCTTTGTGGACCTTGAGTGCAGATTTTGTGGCAGGCGCAGGCACTTTGTGGACCTTGACGCGTGGATTTCGTGACAGGCGCAGTACTTTGTGAACCTTGAAGTAGGCTTCATGCCAGGCAGCACTTTGTGGACCTGCAGATTTCGTAGCAGTCGCAGTACTTTGCCAGATTTCGTGGCAGGCGCAGTGCTTTGTCCACCATCACCACCGCCACCATCAACATCAACATCAACATCATCATCGCCACCATCACTACCACCATCACCATCACCAAAATCACCACACCATCACCACAACCATTGACCATCACCACCACCACCATGACCATCATCACCACCATCAACATCATCATCACACCATCACCATCACCTCTCTCCGCAATCCATTGTGCAGGATCTCTAAACCTTCTGCTTCCACACCTCTAGACTTTAGACCTTTAGACACACTGTTTGGGGTCTTTTGCCGAGAAAATATTTTGTGTAGTTTACTATACTGTATGTGAATTATATAGCAGCTGGCTAAACCTAAGCCGAATCCGAAACGCAGACCACAGCTTGCACTGAATGATATGGCACTGTTCATTTGAGGTGTGTTGATTTGGTCGAGTTTTGCATGCATGTCCACATTGGATTTGGTTTCAAGAGTACCTTTCAGGCTGGGCCCAACAAAACAGAGCGTGCCACTGAGTTACGTTTTGCTGTTGGAGTTGTCTCCGGCATGTCTTGTTGCCCACAGTTTCAGCCTTGCACCTTCAAGGTTGGGTAGATGTTCCGCAGGATGCCTAAACAAGAACAATTCAATGTCTCCAAATGTGATAGCATGTCCACGAACAATGTGTCTGTTGTGTTGTGTTGTGTTTTTGGGCTGGCAAGTTGAAATGAATATAGCCATGGGCAGCATCGGCTATGGTATGGTATAAACCAAAGGCTATGACACCCTTGGCTAAGGAGAATCAACTGCCGTAGAGCGCTGCAAGACAAAGGCCTGAAGCCAATGTAGAAAGAAAACAGTGCTAGGGTTGTCGTAGCTGGCCTCTCTTCCAATCAGTCTGAAGAGGGGTGTACAAATCTGCAAGGATGAGTGATGTGATGCGGTTCTCGTTGTAATGAGAAAGTTCAACTCCACGAACTGAACCGCGTCGTAGTATTGTCGTATCGATATAGTTGGTTTTGTAGTTGGTTTCAGTTTTGTGTTTGAGCTGTTCATGTTCAGTTGATGTAAGGTTTGATGACATACAGCACAGAGCCTCTGGCGCAGCACTTGTCACACCTCTCAGCTGCCTGGTTGGCGAATGTCGGTGAAGAAGAAGAGATCACTTGGGTGTTGGTCACTTATTTGATCGGGCCCATTTGGCTAGCGGCTAGCAGCAGTCAATCTGGTCTTTGTTTGGACATTCATGTGTACCCAGACTCATATTTACATGATCGAATGCACGGTGTCTCACAGAAGGCCGGCTTGGGCTGCTGGAACTTTCAGCGGTTCCTCCTGGACTGTGCGATGCTCAAGACTGACATGTTGACACTTGCAAGAGCAACTGCTGCAATACACTGATTTGGGCTGCAGTTTGCTTTTTATATACGCAACCTATTTGGAGAAGCTTCGAAGCAAGCTTGAGGGTGTTGAGCGTAATCCGTTGTTGGGTAGCTCAGCTAATGTAACCAAAGCAAGCAACCAGAATCCACGCAAGCCTGATCTGTTTGCGTATCTGAGTTTGGCAGTGGTGACATTACTGATGGAGCCGTGATCTCAGATATCCACCCCCCAACAAGACGCGGCAACACACAAAGCTGAACCAAGCAAGCAAACACATTAAATCGCCTAGAACACCTCACCAACCACCAAACCCAATCAAACCAATAAGAGACAAACGCACAGGAAGAACCCGGCCAAAGCCCCTCCTTGAGAGCTGGCCGAAATGGGGCCTGTGTATTTTTTGGTAGAACTTCATGTACTGGTAATGGATGTCATTGTGCAATTGAAGGTCGGCACCTTCTATGTTGTGTTTCCGGCGTTTCTGTGATCCTTGTTCTCTTCACTTCACGCAGTGTGGATGCTCCACACCAGGGTGTAAAGAGAGCGTAAGAAGATATGCTTGGAGGGACAGGTTGAGAAGCACAGGGTCGAATAGAGATGGAAAAGAACAATTCACAGGCTTACGTTAAGTGCCAATGTTTTGTTTGATTTGGTGCAACTAATTTCAAGTAGGGGCTATTATTGCAGCTGCAACGAGTACCTAGAATAGCAAACGTAGTGTGGAAGAGTCTAAAGCCTTGAAGTGTTTGGTGATGTCAGTTTGATATGGCCTTCAGAGAACGCTGCACTGCCTGTTTTAATGGCCTGGAAGGCGCTGCCAGCACTGTACGTCGACCACCAGCGTTCTTCCCATGCGGAGAGGCTGGCACTGAGCTGACCACTCCATGGGGTGCCTTCAATAAGAAGTCAATATCCTTTGATAGGAATCCATTGTATGCCTTTGACCCTTTGCTGATGGCGCCTCCTGCCAGGCAGATACTGCTGGCAATCATGAGGCCAGCATCAGGGAGTGCAAGGCTCATTGGATACAAGGCAGAGTTATCCTGATGATCCAAGATGGGTGCTACAATCGAGAGTTGCTTGGGTTTATTTCCGGCTCCTACAGAGATGGTCCCGGGGGCTACACAATGCCGTTTGTCTACGATGTGTGTTCAGTTTGCTGTTTTGACGGCCAGGGTGGCCCTCACCACGCAGAGTTGCAAAGGAGATGCACTCGAGCTTGCACAAAGTATCGCCCTGCTGTCTAGCAAATTTGAGGGAGCACCCCAGCGGTTAATCTTGAGATGTTGTAGATTCCTTTGAACTGACCTGGAAGCATGTGGAACCGTTTGTGGGGATTTTGTAGTTTTGACCGGTGAGCGATTTAGTGATCAGGCAGTACATGGGTACGTTTCGGCTCACAGCTTGATGGTCAGAGAGGGTCAGAGGGTTGAAAGTTCGCTCGTGCAAGGCAACTGTTTGGTCCTTGGTGGCTCAAAACTCCTTTTTTTGATGTTTTGTTTAAACCTGCCTTGCTCTCTTTTTTAGTTTGCCCTTACTAAATTAAGTAGGCGCCTACTTATATACAAGTAAGGGGCAAACCTGTACGCTCCTAGCTACTGAGCACTACTACATATGGACGCAGGATTGCTCACACGAATGACTTGGTTCCTAGTCCTAGTTCTCTTTGGAAAGCTTACTGTAACTTTGCTTGCTTTGAGCACACATTGCTTTGTTTTCACCGAACTAATGATAGATGAATTGGATTTGTCAAAGACCAGAGTGGTCTTTGCTGCTCTAGACAAGGCCGATGGCTGTGCTGTGCCTTCCTGCCAGGGCCTCACTGCCTGTCACGACACTACACCATTTCTTGAGGAAGAGGTTGTGCCTTGTATCCTGAAGATCACAGCATCTTCGCTCCAAGAGCCACACACATGCTCTGTGAATCTCTGTGAGGTGTCTCAACTGTATGGGCCAACACACAGGTGCTTTGCTGCACGAACACTTTGAGAGCTTCTTGTGCTTGCAGGAGATTGCGCGGTACCCGCCTGATGAAGAAGTGCAGTGTCGGGTGTTCCACTCAGCTTCAAGGCTTTGGACTCTTTTGGAGTATCCTTTGCTCCGAGTAACGTCCTTGCTCCTAATAGCGATGCCAGGAGCCCCTAGTGCGTCCCTGCTCCTAGTAGCGATGCCCTTTGCTCCTGGTAGCGATGCCCTTTGCTCCTAGTAGCGAACATTGTTCCTAGTAGTAAGGCCAGGAGCTACGTTCGTAGCGTCCGATCGCTCCTTGTGAGTGCAGAGCAAGCTCCGAATTTGAGAAAGCGGACTTCCGAGGCAAACCTGCTAACAGCAGACGAGGCTGGAGGGGTCCTGTTTTTTGCTGTGTAGCTGGAGTAGCTTTGTGAGTTGCTAAAGAAAGTTGCTTCGTGGGTTGCAAACGTGTTTTTGCCCAGACAGTTTGAAACCAAGCAAACTTCATAGCTGATAGGAGCAAGAAGCTACTAGGGGCTCCTGGCCTTACTACTAGGAGCCAGAAGCTACTAGGGAAGATCTTTGCTCAACTGGGCTGGCTGACAACCTATCCAGGCCTCACGAGCATTGAGCACAGGCTGTGTCTCGGCTAAAGGACATCAGTCGAAGACTATGGCAGTGACTTCAATGTCTTTAGCCACATGAAAACCCTTTTGAAGCAGCTGCTTGATTAATGGTTGTTTGACATCTTTCTGACCAACTGACTGAGCTTCCCTAGGTCGCGCCGAGGCCTCTGTGTCCAGGCATGGCGGTCCAGTCGTGCCGTGGAGTGCCACGGCAAAGATCACTACGCGCAGTTAGTATGTAAAGCTCCGAGTAGCGTCCTTTCGCTCCTAGTAGCGATGCCAGGAGCCCCTAGTAGCTTCTTGTTCCTAGTATATAGTAAGGCCAGGAGCCCCTAGTAGCATCCTTGCTCCTAATTAAGTTTGTTTTGCCTTTGTTTTGTACCTTTATTGTTTGTTTCGTTTTTGTGTTCCTATCTTTGGCGGGGAGGCCCAAGGAGGCCATGAGGTAGGCTGTCGAGTGAATAACTGTCGCGCCGGGGTTCTTCAGGGAAAGCTCCACGCCCGAGGAACCTAATAGCTTCAGACCTACTTGCGATGGCCTCCAACCTACTTGCGACATCTTGCGATGGC